TGAGTGGTAAATCGGACATCACCTGTGGGAGTCTGTAGGGTCTCTGGCTCAGGAAGTCTTAGGTGGGCCCAAGAACCTCTACCTTTTAATCTCCCACAGGAGAGAAGGATATATATAATCCCCATCCCCCCACCTTGCCATTCTCTCCCATCCTGCCCATTTCTGCACATTTAGTTCTCCAGGCGAAATCAGAATCATTTTTCCATGTTCCTTACAAATCCTGTAGGTGTTGTGAGATCACATTAAATGTATAACTTACAGGGGCGCCTGGGTGGCTCAGTCGGTTGAGCGGCCGACTTTCGGCTCAGGCCGTGATCTCGCCCTCCGTGAGAGTTCGAGCCCCGCGTCGGGCTCTGTGCTGACAGCTCAGAGCCTGGAGCCTGCTTCCGATTCTGTGTCTCCCTCTCTCTCTGCCCCTCCCTGACTCATGCTCTCTCTCTGTCTCAGAAATAAACATTTTTAAAAATGTATAATTTATAGAGAAATATTTTTTCCAGTAGTAAGTCTGTTTATCTGAGAGCATAGTATATCTTTTACTTTTTTCACGTGTTCTTAGAAACCCCTTGGTAGGGCTGTACTATGTCCATTATATAGGTCTTGCCTATGTTTGGTAAAGTTTATTTTAGCCATTTCATCTTTTTTTCTTTTTTGAAGTTTATTTATTTATTTAGAGAAAAGCAGTGGGGGAGGGGCGGGGGGGGCAGAGGAGCTGAAGCAGGCTCTGTGCTGTCAGCACAGAGCCCGACGTGGGGCTCGAACTCATGAACCATGAGGTCATGACCTGAGCCGACTTTGGATGCTTAACCCACTGAGCCACCCAGGTGCCCTGTAGGCATTTCATCTGTAAGTTATACTGTAAATGGGATCAACTCCCATCTCACTGTTGATGGATATGTTCACATAGCAGCACCTATTGATTTTTTCATATTAATTTTACCATCAAGTGCTTACTGAATTTTCTTACTTCTGATCATCTCTTAGTTGATTCTCCTGTGTTTTCCTGACACATATCCTCTGCAAACAATTTGGCTTCCCACTTTCCAAACTGTATACCTCATTTTATGGCTTCCTAATCACATTGGGTAGGGCTTCCAGAATATCAAATAAAAATGATAGAGTGGGAATGAGGTTTATTAATTGCTTTTGGTTTACAACTTGGGAAATCTGCACAAAGGAATCTGATAACAATCCGCAGATCAGCACTGGGGGACCGCCAATTTATATAATTCTTTATCCAGGTATTTCTTCAATCTGGCCTTCAAACATGCTGGTAATTTCTATGATCCCAATGGAATATGAAGTCAGTAAACTTTCCTAAGATTCTGTGTGAGTCAGGCAGGACCTTTTATCAATGGGGAGGGGTGTCCCAGTGGTAGCGATGCCTTATACATTTTACTATAGCCCTAATCGCTTCCTGCTTAGGCAGTTTGACTGACTCCTCCCACCAAGGAGCCATCCTTTTCGCTTCATCCTGTGCTTGGCCCTAAGGAGATTCTCAGATGAAGGACAGTCCCTGTCTCTTACTGTTCTGTTTGTTTGTCTGTTTGTTTTTGAAGGAGAGAGAGAGACAGAGAGTGAGTGGGGGAGGGGCAGAGAGAGAGGGAGACACAGAATCCGAAGCAGGCTCCAGGCTCCCAGCTGTCAGCACAGAGCCCGATGCGGGGCTCGAACTCACAAACCATGAGATCATGACCTGAGCCGAAGTCAGACACCGGCCCGACTGAGCCACCCAGGTGTTCCACTGTCGAATTCTTCCCGTAGGAGTGTACCTAGAGAAATCAGGTTCTCAGAGATGCACGTCAGCAATACCATCACTGTCCTCAAGCGGTCATCAGGGAGAACAGTGGGGTCACTGATTTTACCAGCCAGTCTGCCTACCATCTTACTGTCAGTGTCACTAAGCGCACATTAAGTGACCCAGTCCTTCCCTTCTCTTCCAAGTCATCCCAGCAGAGCAGTTTTCAAGGAAAGAATAAACCAGGCCAGAGGTGGTTGAAAATGTATTTATTTTTCTTCAAATGATCTTTTTCAAGCAATAAATAAAAACAGACATGTCAACTTTTCTAAAAAACAAAACCAAACAAAAAAAATCCCCTAAACTATATACATCCTACAGAAATACAAGCATATCAAATGTAGAAATGACATCACTCTGAAAGACGGGGCTATTTACAAAAGTTACAAGTATTGCATTGCTCTGTCTTGAAGAAGCCTCTTCCTCATATGACTCATAAGCTCTAAGAACAGGCAGGGTGCCCTTCGGGGACGGGGTTATCTTCAAGAGGTGAAACTCCCCATCTTTCTTATTCGACAAGGAAAATGTAAGGAAAGACCCCAACGTCCAGACACTGTATTCAATTCGCCGACAACGTTCCACAGATCAGATGACTTTCGAGGAGACTGAGAGGTGCCCCTTCAGGGGGTCACATGCTCCTTGAGCTCCTGATAGAAACCATCTTGTCCCGCAGCCAGGCTGGGACGGGTGGCAAGACCCTGCTAAGCCAGTGACCAACCCCTGGTTGTGGTTTCTTCGGGACAAGCTAGTTCTGTCATGAAGACTAGCCTTCCAGAAAGCAAGGCCATTTTCCCCATCTTGGCCGCACATGGGGCACACTTGGGGAGCTCAGAAACACACGGATGCCTCGGTCCCAGCTCCAGAAATCCTGGCTTAATTGGTCTGGGATAGCCTGGTAGCAAGGTTTTCAAAACTCCCCAGCTGATGCCGGTGGACAGTCAAGGTGAACCACCTCTTCCGTACTTTGGGCTTGGTGGCCAACTCCCATCCCGATCAACCATCCTGCCTTCTCTGTCCACTTTCCCACGGATGTTTACATTTTTTTCTCATGGCATCCCAACCTTGTTGAAAACTCTGGAATCCAGTTCCAACAAGCACCTGAGCAAAATGGCCTCAGGAGGAAAGGACTGAGACTGTGAGCTCCCAGCCACCTGTTCGTGGCACTTTCAGCCTGGTATGTCTCCATGGGAAAGTCAGGTATGTTACCCTCAGCGATCCACAAACACCCTTGGCCACACAAGATTCTGGGAGCTGACAGCAACCCTTGGTCTCTAGAGGAGATCCAAGGTAGCCAACAGCATGGCTGATAATCAGTGAAAGTGGCAACGTTTTCCGGCCATCACAGAAAGTTTGCATCACCAGAAATCACTTCATGGGAGAGAGGCCAATGGAAACCCACCTGACCATTTGAACTGACCCTGTGGTGGTGTCTTCATTAGAGTTATGTCGAGTCATCAAAGAGGCTTCTGATGGCAGAATTAGGACCACCTCCCCCAAATCCCCTCTTCCTATCAAGCCAATTTCCTATTTTTATTTCTAAGAGTTGTGGGACTCATGTTGTCATCAAGTACAAAGAAAATGGCTTTATAAATAGCAGTTTGACACAGTGACAGAAGACTTGAATTGAAAAGTGGGGGGAAGACGTGTCTGGGGCTGGTCCTGAGCTCCGTCTGTCCACATGGTTGGAATCCAGTCTGGGAAAACACAGGTTTTGGCGGATGTGCACTTGTTCTATAGAAAGTGAGTCTGTTCCAGGTTACTTTTCCTCCCCCTGCAACAGCCACCCTGCCCCCCAGGTCCATCTGCTGTTGGAACCCAGGGCTCCCTCAGCTGCAGAACCCAGTGGACCTCATTCACTGCAAAACACAGAGCAACCTCCAGGAATCAAGGAAAAAGTGGGAATGGCCAGCTATGCCACCTCTAAATAGGTCCATTGTCCAGGCATCTTAACCCCTCCACACCTCACCCCTATTCAGCCAGGCAGCTCCTAGGGAATGAGGGAGCCTTTGGCTTTTCTAAAAACAGGAAGCGGGAACTCTCACCCAAAGACAGGGCTTGACAAAGGCAGGATGAGTGATGCCAGCACAGGTTCATGTTTATGGAAGGAAATGTAATGAACCTGGTCCTGTCTGGGATGCCAGGATAAGAAAGAGCATTCCAACACGATTCTGACATTGAGGCTTGAAGTTATTTACGGATGAGCAAGAATATTCATTTAGATCTAGACTCACAAGGGGCTAAAGAACAAAAAAACAAAAGAACAAAGAACAAAAAAACAACCAAAAAATAAACATGCTCTCATTTCTAGACAAGTTTGCAAATACCTCTAAGCTGGCACTCAGTAACAACACTGTTCCACACTACTACAATTGAAGTAACATGTAGCTTCCCTCCTCCCTCCCCCCAAGCCCAACCCACACACAACATCCTTCTCCCTCAAAAAGCCTTACCTCCGTTTGGAAAGGCCCCTTCAAATGGCATTATCCCAAGAATGGATTCCAAAATGGCACCCGAGCACCCACGGTGCCCATTCCAGGAGCCCAGCAGCCAGCTCCCAAGCAAAGGGTCTGCCCAGCTCCTCACACACACTCTTCCATCCTAGACCTGAAACATGGTGTCCATTCCCCTCTTTTTATTCAAATAAGGGCCTTTAAAAAATATTCACCTAAGCCGGGGAATTTTAAAAAGGCAGGAATTTGTTGGCGTACTTCTACTCTCACAGGATTCACATCACGTCTGGCTCTAGTTAGCTGGGTTCCCCAATGGCCCGGCCCAGTGATTCCCTGGAGGAAAATCTCCACTGCGCCCAATTTTTCAGGAGCACCTTATACAACATGGCATTTATCACAGATGGTTTGCAAGTCCTCAGGCAGGTCTGTGAGAACATGCTCCCGCCAACTGGATCACCCATCCTCAGAAAGAAAAGACTGTACTGTCGGGATGTAAAGCCACTTTAGTGTTCCATGTGCCCAGGAACCAGCCTCAAAAGTCATCAAACAGCAGTCCTCACCTTCCTTCCACCTGCCACCCCACCCTGCCTGCTTCTCAGTGGCAACCAATCCCAGGTGTCTATCCCGCCACCTTGTCCACACCTGGGAGATGCCATTTCCCTTCTAACTGCTTCAACATTTGCATGCTATCGTGCTCCGCTGCGGGACATCGACAGAAACATATCCAAAATTCACTGTCACTAGACTCCTTGTACTTACATACTCTGAGGAAATTCTTAATAAATACTTTTATTTATGACGAAGCGTAATTATTCACCTGTTGGTGACTTCAAAAGGAAAACCACGTCCTATAAGATTTCGTCAAAGAACACAAACAAAACATCGACCAAAAAACAAAAACAACCAAAAAAAAAAAAAAAAAAAAACCTGTTACAAGAACAAAAAAAGGACGAAGCACACAGAACCAGGCACTTCTGGCAAACTTGTTTTCTTTTTGTCCCTTTCCCACTCCCACCCGCCTCCCCCCCACCTTAACAAAACTGGGTGGGCACATTTGCCAGGATCTGTGGGTTTCCTAACTTCAAGCCTTACCGCTTAAAAAAATGAGGTAAGAAATTCCTATCTGAAAAGTAACATACACACAAACCAAACCAAGGTCTTCCCTGCCCGCTGAGGCAGCCGCAGCCGTTATTGCTCTAGGTTGGAGTGTTTTGTTTGCTCGTAGTAGGTGTATTCGAAGTCCTTATTGCCATTCTAGCTGGCCCCAGGCTGGCCCAGGAGGAGCAAAGGGGGAGGAGCTCGGCCACCTGCTCCCCACGCTGGTCAGTCCCCGCGGGGCCGGCGGGCTCGCGGGGTGGGGGTGGGGGGCTCCGAGCGGCCCTAGCAGCTGGGGGACGTGGTGATGGGGCTGTGCAGGTAGGGCAGGCTGCTGGGGGCCGAGTGCACGCCCACCGACACCGGGAAGCTGAAGACAAACTGCGAGGTGGGGGTGGGGGTGGCCTTGCCCCGCTCCCGCAGGGGCCCCGAGGGGCTGGCGGCCTCCACGGCGCAGGACGTGGCCAGCACCTGCGACTCGAACTGCAGCAGCTGCCCCATGAAGCTGAAGTTGGGCGAGATGATGCTCCGCCGCTGCTTGACGAACTCGAAGGCCTCCTCCAGCCTCACCCGCTTCTTCATCATCAGGTAGGCCAGGCAGATGGTGGCCGAGCGCGAGATGCCCGCCTGGCAGTGCACGAGCACCCGGCCGCGGCAGTCCTTCACGGCATCTGGGGCAGAGAGCGCCATGCGGTTAGTGCCCCGCGCGCGGTCCCCAGGCTCCACCAGATGGCAGGTGCGGGCGGCGCTGCGGGGGGTCGGGGGGGGGGGGGGGGGGGGGGGGCGGGGAAGAGTGTTGGGGGAGGGGCACTCCCGGTCCAGGAAGGTCCAGGAATAACGTTGGCGGCCGAGGAGGGGGAGGAGGAAGCCCACCGCAGAGGACTCTAGGATTCCTTCCACCCATTCTGGGCTATTTTTTTGAGACTGATCCAAACAAATGCACTAAGCTTGGGAAAAATGCATGGTAAAGCCGGTTAAATCCCAACATACCTTCAAGGATTTCCATGTGCAGGAACAAAAACACTGGCCCAGTTCTCCCTTTATTTGTTTCCTCCCCATCCCCAAAGCCTTATCATCTAGACATCTGGAGCCACGCACGGAAAACGTTATTGCCTAGATAAGCTAATGGCCCGGCTGGGGAGTCTCTCTTCCTATCCCCACCCAACACAGCATCCAGGCAGTGAGCCTTCCTCAGAGGCACAGGGGAAAGGGGCACACCCCGGCGACCGCGCCCCTTCGGTCCCTCCTTCCGCAGGCAAGTACCCGTGGTTCCCTCACAACCTCCTGCACTTGGCCTGCACCCTGCACCGCACCACCAGAGCCAACCTACCGATGTACTCAATGGCTTCCATGAACCAGGAGCTGATGTCTGCCTTGTGGTTGTCTTCCACGGGAATGCACTTGTACTGATAGTGGCCTTCAAAGTGGTTCGGGCAATCGGAGGAGACATTCAACAGGGCCGTGATCCCCAGCGCGTCCAGCATGTCCCTCCGGGCAGCGTGGTAGGCACTGCCGAGGTAGAGGAAGGGAAGGATCTCCACAGGACCCCCCTGCGCCAGAAAGAGAGGGCAGAGTGCCCCCAACATCGTGAGTGTAAGGCCCCCAGGAAAATGGCCAGGGTGCTTGGGACAGGGCGGGAGGGTACCTGGGCGAGGTGGGCTTTCACAGGCCCAGGGGAGAACGCCTGTGGACACAGCCCTTCCGGGTCTCCCTTTAGCCTGCTGGGGCTCCTGGCGGGACACCAGGCCCGGTGGGCTTCTCTAGCCTTTACGCTCCGCTCTGCTGTGAGCGGCAAAGCCAGGACAGGTCAAGCCTCGTGGGCCCCACCTGCCGGTTCAAGCAGCCCTCCTCCCCCTCGATAAATAAAGTGGCAGACACAACACCGGCCTTGCCACACCACTTAGGACACGAATCTACACCTAACTCAGCGCCACGCTGTCTGTTGTGGGGTCGAGGGCACATTAGAAACGGATGCTGTTTCGGCCTCACAGACAAGAGGCGGGATCTATGAGGAAATGGGGGCTGCAATTCGTGACGTTTTCTGAGTCAGACCAACTCAAATGGTCTGGGATCTGACAGCAGACTTGCTGGACCCTATGAATCCACTCCCTCTCCATCTAAGTGCAAAGGCTGGTAAGACACAGAGCAGCTTAAGCCGGTTTTCTTGGGGGAGGGTTGGCCAACCATTTATGTCCATTGGGCGTCTGCAATTGGCTTGTACACGGCAGGGTGGCCTGGCTCTTTCTACACAACAGCCCACGTGCACTGGCTTCAGCAATCCCCGCGTGTCCGCACGTGAAGTTAGAGGCAAAGTCAGAAAGTTAGGTCTTTGTATGTTTCCAAATGAGGGCAATAAGAGGGAAGGAAGGAACAAACGGACCCTCCCTAACACTGCACCCCAGTACTCAGGGTTCACTCCATTCTCCCCAAATTGAGGCACTGGATCCAAAGCCTCTGCAAAGCAGAACTCTGAAAATAAGCCCCCTTGCCCCCGCCTCACCCCCTCCCCTTGCCCCTTTCTCCCAGGCTCTGGGCCCGGGTCTACCTGGTCGTGCAGCGGGGTTCCGCAGGAGCCACAGCCCACGTCCAAGGACTCAGCAGTGCTGGGGGGAACAGCAGGTGGGATGGTTGCCAGGGCCTTCGTTTTGGAACAGAATTCTGGGTACTCGGAAGAAAACCTCTCATAGCCACCTGTAAAAGAGAAAGACGTTGGTGTTAATAGAGTCACGAAGCCGGCAAAACCCCAGAAAAGTACTTGAATCTGACTCCTGGACTGAGGAGAACGGCTGGGAAGCTGGGAACGGCCGGATCTACATTGGCCACCAGGTGGCGCTGTGGGCCCAGAGATAACGGCTATGGAGCCTTCAGAGAGCCGCATTTGGCCAGGGCTGCATCCTGAAGGCTGGAAGGGAAGTTTTAGGAGCAAGACTTAGGTTTGGGAGGCAGATACAGAAAGGACGACGTGCAGGGGATATGCAGAAGGGACTTTCCACGGCAGCTTCTTGGGGTGATGTCAAAGCATGGAAGACTGGCCATTGTGTGTTTCCAGGAGCCCCGAGGCAGTCTGGTGCTGGGCCCGGGGGCCTGCAAAGATGTCTGTCATCCCCCACCTCCAGTCCTGCCTTTGGAGAGGTTCTGCAATGTGGGAGAGAAGGAAAAAAATTTACCCTGGCACCAGCCCTTCTGGATCTCAGCAACAGAACAGATGCCAATCGCCCAGCCTCATGAACAGCTGTTCATCAGCAAGGGGCCAAAATAAGAGGAAACGGGCTTAAATATAAATCCCTCTTGCTACATACAGGTTTGGGGCAAGGCAGGATTTCCTGACCTGCGAGTTGCTAAGCTCTGGAATGGTTATCTGTGGGATCGTCTTCCGGGGAAGGGAGGTCTTTTAAGTAAAAAGAGATAAAGGGCCGACTTCTCTGGAATAGTGTTAGTGCCAAGCCGAAAAGCTCCTGCTGGCTGGCGGAGGGCAGAGAGGCAGGAGAGGGGCAGGAAACACTAGAAGAGAAACGCTTGGTCAGTATCCGATTTACTCTCAGTTCTGGGACTTTGCTTTGCGAGTAACTTAGCATCCACGGTCCTTGTGTGGCCCTGCTTGCATTTTTATCTTGCAGTTTCCATAGGACCCGAAACATATTACAAATTCATTCAGGAGAGCCTACAGGTTGTGAAGCGACCATTCAACCAACAGTCCCGAATGTAGCTAGCACCGTTAAATCCTGACGCGTAAGCGGCATGGTGTCACGGGTTCCTAGAGACATTCAGGGTAACCTTCCGACATGCAGACATGTGACAGTTAGTCAATCACTTGCCCAGATCCCAGCCCTAGAAAATTCTGCTTTGCAGAAGAAGGGAATGCTTCTTTGCCACATCATAAGGCTTACAGAACAGGGTATACATTTTTTCCTCTCTGTTCCCCTCCATTCCCTCCCTCGGGATATAAATGGGGATCTCTCCGGTCACAGGCCTGGCTCCTGCTGAGTCACAATAACCAGCTTCCCCCGGAGGAGAGGGCCCAGTACTGGCAGCTTCGGGCGCATTGGTGGCCTTAATGGTCATCTCAGCACAGGGGCACCCCTCCTTCCCATTAGCACCCCCTTTTCTTTACAAGGCTACAAACATTGCTGCCCCAAATGTAGTGAATAATGAGGGAAGATGGCTCTTCCAGCAAATGTCTTTAGCTCAAGTTCCTAAGGTAGAACTCTGGGAAACTTCCTTAAATGTTCCCCTTTGAAAGGCAGAAAGGGAAGCGAATCAATCAACAAACCATTGTTGAACACCTGTATACAAAGCCATTAGCTGTTACTCTATGTGTTTCTATAGGATTTAAAGACTTTTAAGTAAAATGATTTCCTGTGTTTATTACGTAATTTGAGCTGTTCAAATATTCTGTTTTCAAAGCTATGGAAGACATGGGCGGTGCGCTCCCAAAGCTTGTCACCCAGACAGGCAGACTAGCGCTGCCCCCCTGAAAGCGAGTGCTGGAGACACAGGAGCGCCAGGGCTAGGCTGTGAGGTTACCGAGGAGGAGCACCCCCCCACCAAAGGGCAGCGGAAGTAGGAGGAGCCTCAGAGTGGTCAACACACAATGTCCTTTCCATTGCTGAGAAGGTGCGGGACAGGGCACCAGACTGAAAAGGCCTGCGTTGAATCCCAACCTGGTTAAGTCATCAAGGTGTGCGGCCTGGGGCTGTCATTGAACCTCTCTGAGCCTCTCCCTCACTTGTAAAGTGTGATGAGACATCCGCACCTGGCATCCTCTGAGGACTGATTGGAACAGCCAGTGCTCTGCACCTGGCCTCGGGGAGGCACCTAACGAAGACTTCCTTTTCTGGCACTTACAAGGGGACTCCAGCATTACGGGCAATTTCCCAGACTCTGGACAGCCCTCTCCTCCTGGACTTTAGTTTTCCAGTCACAGTCTTGAGATCTGGTAGTTAGACAGCAGAAGGGCTGAGTTCACTGCCTAAGTTCCAGGACCTTTCCCCATAGGCGACGTTTGCTGCCTCCAGGTCGATCCTCAGTCAGCCCCGCAGGTGGCACAGCACCCACAGCCCAGAAGGCTCCCGAGCTGGCCGATGCCCTCGGGGTGTGGCAGGCAGGGGGCGAGCAGCCAACTGGGAGGGACAGAGGTGACCCGGGGGGGCCAGGCCAGGCTTGAAGGGGGGCCATCTGTCATCCACACCACCCCCAAGCCTCTCATAACAGGGCAGAGAGGGCGGGAGAAGGCAGCATTAGAGTGGAGCAGAAACAGGATTACTGAGGTCCGTTCCCTTTGGCAGCTCTTTAAAGAACAAGGAGAAAGGAACCAAGTGAACAAGCAGATTTGCCTGAGGGACCGGAGGGTCCCAGGCAGGCAGCCGTGGAAGGGATTCTCCCTCCTGAGCTGTCGCTAGCTCTGGAGGGTCTGTGGCTGACCGTTATGAAGAGTCGCGCCCAAGGAGCTCCTTCCTGCGGGTGGCGAGCGGCGCCGGGCTGGGACCTCGGCTGCGCGCAGCACAGAAGGACAGCCCCAGAGCACGCAGGCGGGGTGGCAGGGACGGAAGGCTGCAAGTGAGGAACCACCCACGTCCACGCTCCACAAGACCAGCACCTCCACGCCGGGTATCGGCTCCACGTTACTAAAAGGGATGGAGGAAATGCTCACTATGTGCCAGGTCCTTCCCAAGCAGCAGTCCTTGAGGGGTGACTGGCCCCAGTTTTACAAATGAGGAAACTGAGGCACAGGGCAACCTCAGGTAAGGGCAGTGCCAGCGTTCAGGCCACTGGCCTCGAAGCCACCTGCTAGTCTGGCCACCGGGAGCCGACCCTGCTGTGTGCCCATCTCTGCCTTCCTGGTGGTCCTTCTCCTGGGGGAGGCAAAGACTGCTGGTTTCATCCCATTGAAGACACATGTAGAAACAGAAAGGATCTGGACACTTGTGACATTTCACCAAACTCCGCGTCTAACTGGTCTTTTTCAAACTACAGGTTGCCACTAAAGAGTCATGACTAGAGTCTTTATTTAAAGAAACACAACAGGATAGAAACTTCTAGAATCCACTGCATTTAAAGAAGGTAGAGGTTCATGGGCCTCTGGTTTCAGGTGTATCTGTATCCCTACGGGGTCACGATGCAAGGATTTCAGACTGTTATCATCTTTAACTTCTGATACTCTGCGATTCTAAATGTCACAAACTTCTCTGCAAAGCAGGTGTCTAAGATCTGCATTTCTAGCTTCTGAATGCAGTTTCATGACACATACACCAATGACTTTCCGCCTGTTTTGTGTAGCTCCAATTGGATGTAATTCCATAACAGATATTCTGACTAATTTTGACCTGTTTTTCCCATGTTCTTAATAATAGACTTTCTGGGGGCGCCTGGGTGGCTCAGTCGGTTGAGCGGCCGACTTCGGCTCAGGTCATGATCTCGCGGTCCGTGAGTTCGAGCCCCACGTCGGGCTCTGTGCTGACAGCTCAGAGCCTGGAGCCTGTTTCAGATTCTGTGTCTCCCTCTCTCTCTGACCCTCCCCTGTTCATGCTCTGTCTCTCCCTGTCTCAAAAATAAATAAAACGTTAAGAAAAGAAAATTTAAAGAAAAAATAATAGACTTTCTGGTCTTAAAGCTCTCATTTTCTCATCTTAATTTTGAAACGTGAGGGTCTAGAGGGAAGAAAATATAATACCCCCCCAACTTTTTTTGAGGGATAACCACATCATAGCTAGCTGAACTCCACGCTCTTTTTCTCATACAAAGCAAGACAACTGTCACAGCTTACTGAAAAGGATGACCCACTGTCCACACGTCCATGCAGGGCTGCGACGGTGCGCATAAAAGTGCTCTAGAAAGGACAGGCTGGTGCAGTGCCGATCACATCACCACAGTAGGGCTCTTAGTGGGGTCTGTGATGGGGAAGCCAGTCATTTGGTGGGGACAGTGGTCACAGATCTTAATATGGCTGTCGCTCTTCCAGTCACCCTCTCTCAAACAACTCAGAATGTCACCCGTTCACAGACAGGGGCTTGCTCTCCTGGGACTTCATTATCAGTACGAGCCAAACGCTGCCCAGCAAGAAAGTCTGGGGTCATTTGACTTTGGGAACTCCCGTTGATGCGGGTGTTAACTTAGTAAGCACCCACGTAAACGCTGAGCAGTGCTGAAGATTTACCTAAGTGAGCTTCCCACTCTGGGACCCCACACACAGACCTGTGCGTCCTGGGCCAGCTGGCTGACACTTAATGCCACCCTGGAGCTGGAGCTGGTTCACGGTCCCTCCCAGTCCTTCTGGGCTATCTGCTACATTCAGCAAGCTGGCTGGTGCTGCCTTCCGCCGGAGAATGAACTTTTCTTCCTGTCAAACTTCCTTTGTTAGGCGGCAACTGCCTCCCAGTAAGGAAACTGGCTATCTGGTTTCAGATGTTCTGATTTTTTAAAGGAATTTCTTGGCCCTTGGAAAAGCCACCTTCCCTCAGTTCCCAGTGTAGCCCGGCTCTCCTATAAGCCCTCAGGACAAGCCCAAGGGACCTGTGATAGGCTTCCTAGTGATAGGGTTTTCACTTTCAATTGATACCTGCACCTGGTCTTTTGTTACTTTTGTTGATTGGAAATATCCAGGTCGGAGGGTCATTCTTTAACGAATGACAACAGAGGTGAGAGATTAGCTCTAAAGCCTGCCATTGTGTGTAATTCTAATGCTCTCAATCCTTGGCTGGCACGGGCACTGTATCATATTTATAAGAAGAAAGGCCAGTCCGTTTCTCTTTGGGTCAAAAGGTGTGCAACGTCATTCCCCCCCACCCCCAAGCCGGGGTTTGCTGTCTGCTGCCACTGACCTCCTGGGGGACTAGAATGGGCCAGGGAAATGGAGACAGAGAGAGACAAGACCCAGCTCAGCTGCTGGCTGAGCACTCCCCCCACTCCGTCATTGGCCTTGGGGGCTGTTTCCTACAGAAAGTGTAATGTCACAGTCTGTAGGGTCAGGCCTTAGGACTACGGTGTATGTGAGTCCCAACCTGGAGGGAGAAGCTATCTAATTGATATCTAATTGATCGTCCCACTGCCTCAAGACAGGGCCAGGACAACTTTTAAATCAGAACTTAAAGAACGGACAAAAGTCATGAGCTGAGATGAATTTGAGACAGGAGAAAAGTAAGATATTAGGGTAAGAAAATGCCCTTTTTGTCCTTCTCTAATGACCAGAGTCTAAAACCCTCATCTGAGGAGCTATCAAGGAAAGAAAGGGAGTTCAAAGGAGGTGTGTATTCTAATGAAATCTGAAAAGCTGAAATTTCTAAACTTTCCCCCAAAATGCCTTACAGGACTTTAAATAAAATGAGCTTAAAGTTGGGGGGTGGGGGTGGGGGGGAAGATTTGCCCCAATGGGAATCTTCTACTAGCAAAAAGACCAGAGAGTGTAGTGATTTAAGGTTATCGTTCTTAGCAAAACTTGGGATAACATTTAGGAAATGTAAAGGCCAGGCAACATTTTATTGGTATTAAGTAACATTTACTCTTAACTACGAATTCTTGCATGTGGTGTTAGTTAACCACCCGCAGTTAACTCATTTCTACCAACGCACGTCCACGTGGCAGAAATAGAAAACTCAGATTATTAAACACAATTAGTTGGTAGAATTAGATAGCCTTTGGCTGGAAAGGATAATATAACTTCCGAAAATATTCTGTTTTTCTGTTCCTGTAGGTTGGCAGAGAACAGTCGGGTCTGGCCACTTTTCCTTTCACATTCCCCACCACATGTGCAATGAGATATACAGAAAGTCCCATTAGATGGAAATTAAAATGAACAACTCCGATGGGAACCAAATTACCCAACACTGAATCAATTTAGGCATTTACTAAAGATAATCTAAGGGGCTTTTCCTCCCCAGTTTCCCATTAGTTCTCCGCCCCCAGAGTGCCCTTCCATGAACCCACATTTTCTCCATTTTACTGGCTTCTCCACTAGAACTTAGGAGGCATGGCTGTCCTCTTCCAGCGGTGTGGGAGCAGACACTTCCCGGTTCTCCCTCAACTCACTAGGGATGCCTTTTCATTAGAGGGCCAAGGGAAGGAAGAGAAACGGTGCTAATTAATACTTCCTCTGCTTAGCACACATATGAAAAGAAGCCAGGTTAAATAGCATACGACCCTGTGAACCTGGCAGCTTCTACCATCGCTACAGAACAAGCCCCTCACCACCACCACCACCACCACTGAATTTCAGGCGGCTGCTTCCAAAGCAGGCTCCTTTCCCTTAGAAGACACAGCTGTTCAGCTGAGTGTCCTGCCTACTCCCCCTGGCCTGTTCCAGAAGAGGCATTAGTTCAACCTGCCGCCCAGGCCTAGATACTAAAGGATATCGACTTTGAGAAGCGGAAGGTAGGCCTCCCCACCACCCCAGGTCAGACAACAGGAAGCAGTTACAGGGCCCAATAGGAAAGAGCCTTTAGATGGCTCCTTTTCCTCCCTCCAGGGACCTCGCCAACGACCAGAGAACTGTCATTTTACCCAGAGGCTTCTGCCCTACTCAGTCTTTAACATTAGCCTCGCGCCCAGCAGCCTAACGGATCTGGCTCTGGGCTCTCCCCTGCGGGTCCAGGGAGGTGCCATCAGCGGGAGGAGGAAACCTTAAAAGCACGCCTCCCTCCCAGGGGCTTAAGCGTCCTGGAGCCCGGAAGCCCAGGGGTCAAGGTCCCCGACCGAGCTGCGGCTCTAGGGCGATCCCCTACGGGTTTCTTCCAGGAAGAAAAACAAAACAAAACGCAGCCAGCCTCCACGTGGATCTGCACCACCTCGAGAAGAGCCCTGGCTTCCGAGCCCGCGAAGGAAGGCACAGGCTCGGGCTCTCCATCAGGAGGGATCCAAGGCAGCGCGGCTCGGAGTGCAGCCCGTGCCACCCGAAAAGGCTATCTCCCGGGAGAAATTTCTCCCATTGTCGCCATGGACGCCGGCACCAGGCAGGGGAGGGGAGGCGCGCTCAGCAGCCCGGACCCCCACGGGTGGAAGCCGGACGTGCGTCTGCCGGGCGCTCGGGGCACAGCTCGGCCCCCAGGCAGGCGAGGCCGCCGAGTCCCAGGAGCCCGGCTCGCCGGTCCTTCCGGTGCCACTCCTTCCCGGCACTTTCTCTTAAAGCGCTTTGGGGAGAAAAAAGGAAGATTAGGCTGGATCGGAGGTGCAAAAGGCAGCTCTCACAGAGAAAGAAATATCAGCAAAATCGCCTTAGTAGTTCAACCAAGGGTCAACAGCAGCATTTCCCCAGCAGCTGACAGGTCAAATGGCCAGGAAACAACTGCCGAGAACAAAGCCCCCCGCTGTTCGGCAGGGGCGAACCCGGCTCGGCGGCACTGAGCAGTTTTGTTGTGCTTTTTGGAAAGGGCGGTGGGGAGAGGTTTCCGCCCCTCCTCCCTCCACCACCTCTCTTCCTCCGGGGCGAGCAGGTCCGGAGGGGAAAGAAAGGAGGGAGGAGGCGAAAGACGCCGGCAGGGAAAGGAGCGGCTCTTTGAAGGCCAGGGTCTGAAAAGCCTCTCGGGTTCGGAGGCGAGGACCGGACGCGGGCGAAAGAATGCGCGGAATGCGGCAGTGGGAAGACGGGGCGCAGCGCGGCAGGGGCGCCCCTACCCACACCCCGTCCTGCCCGCTCTCCCACCCGAGAAACGTCAGGGACCGGGACCCGACGAGGCCCGGCAGGTGCGGCCGGGGCACCGGCCCTCCAGTTACTTAGCACGCGGTCCTTTGGGGGTTTCTGACTTCCAGATTTGACCAGAACTCCCGTCCCCGAAGAGTTTCGCCAGGTTTCACTTAAGTCAAGCACGCGCTAACAAGACAGTCGAGAACCCCGTCTGAACAAAAGGTCGTACTTCTCCGCGGCCTGAACTTAAGGGGCACGTTCGCGTCTCGAGTTCCCCGAAACTCAGTCCTCCCGCCCCTCCCCCCCTGCCCCGCTCCCGGAGCTGGGGTCTAGCCCGAGGCGGGAGAAGTTGGCCACCTTCCAGGCGGAGCTCGGAGTTGGGCAGCAGATAGCTCCACGCAATGTCCGCAACCCGATCTTCCTTTCTGCATTTACCAAGCCATCCCACCTCGGCGCTCGCCCTTCTTCACCGTATTCCCCACCTCTCGGGTTCAAGGGGTCGGACTCAGTGCAGGGCCCGAGCACGCCAAAACGACAGGCCTGACCTTCCCCACCCGCACACTAGCACCGGGATCACCTCCCTGGACTATATATGGGTGGGCAACGCAGTGGAGCCACTACGCCTAAGAGATCTGACGGTTAGTGAGCGTAAATAAATGCAGTCTCCAGGAAGAGTACCGACTTGCAGGTGACAGAGGAAACGCACCTTCACCGTCTCTGAGGACTTCAGGCGCTCGCACTTGCACACAAACGCACGAAAACCTTGCAAACCCATGCAAAACAGCACGCACAAAGGAGTGCGTGCCACGAGTCCCTCCAGGCACTTACTTCTTCCCTTGCCCACTAAGGCGCAGGCCGCCAAGCCCCGCGACACCTACCCTCCAGCTCGCGCCCCGGCGCCAGAGTTTACCTTTGAGCAGGCAGATGTCAGTGCGCTCGGCGTAGCGGCGCAGCGCCTGCACTACCAGCGACACGGTGCTGTCTTCGCGGAGGCTCTCCGCGCGCGGGCTGCGCTCGTCGTAGACTATGACCGCCGAGTAGAGGCCGGAGCGCAGGCGGGCGCGCACCTCCTCCTCCGCGGGCAGGATCTGCTCCAGGCTCACCGAGCCCTTGGCCCGCCGCCGCACGATGGTGTTGCAGCGCACGTTGACCGAGCCTCGGATGTAGCCCGCGCTGTGCGCCAGGAACGGTCTGCAGTCCAGGAGCAGGCACTTGCCGCCGCTCAACAGCCCAAAGGCGCCGTGGCTGCCGCTGCCGCCCGCGCCGCCGCCGTTCTCTTCCCGGTTCATCAGCCTTTTGAGCACGCTGCAGTCCATCTCCCGCAGCTCCTCCACCGTCACCATGGTCGCCGGGAACCGCGGCTGCTGGGCACGCGAGGAGGAGGCGAAGGGACCCGGGCCAGTTGGGCTGCAGGAGGGGGCAAGTGGGGGCTAAGGGAAGCGCGTGCAGAAGTGACCGCAAACTTGGCCCCCACGGCCTCCCACGGGCGAGCCTCTTCTCCCCGGTCCCCTTCCTCCAGCAGTCTCGCGGTTACATAGCAGTCCGAGCGGCCTCGGGCACCGGGCGGCACCGCGCGCGGTGCTGGGGGAAGGTGAAGGGGAGTGTGTTTATGGGAGAGAGGACCACCGGGGCTCCCTTCTGTTGCTGCCTCTATTGTATTTTGCCCGTTGTGCCGCTGCCGCCGTAGCCGCCACCGGCGCTGCCGTTCGGACCGCTGACGCTCGCCACCGACAACCGGAGCTCCGCGCACTGCCCCAGCCAGAGTTTCCTCTTTAGCTTGTAGATGTATTAATGCTCCTCTGCACTCCCCCGGGAGGGGGCAGATTCATTACTACCTCGAGAGGCCCCGCCCCTTGCCATTCTGGGCCTCGCGCCCTCCCCCCCGCCCCCCGCGCCGGCTCCCCGCCCCGCGCCTGCTCCCTCGGCCCCGCCTGCCCCTCCCCTGCCCCCTCCCCTGAGCGTGAATGGAGCGCGGGCCGCTTGCGCCCAGTCATGGGAACGCGACGTCACAAAGAGCAGAGTAAACAGGGCGCTCGGCGCTCGCCTTCAGGCCCATTCATAAAACCGAGACCTAGAGGAAGAGGGAGGCGGCCTCCGACCGGCAGGCGAGCGGCCGCGCCAGGACTTTGTGAATGGAACGCGGCAGCGCCTGTCGCAGCCCGCCGGCCGGCCCCGGCCTCTTCGGCACGCGTCCCGCCCGGACCCTAGTGGCAGTCCAGCCATTCCTCCCCGCCGCGGCGATGCGGCGTTCGGCGTACGGAAAACGGCCCGCCGGGAAGCCGGCCTAACGGCGGCCGGGGCTCGGTTTTGGAGGTTTCATTCCTTTTTGCCCCCGTGCTTCCCCCTTAGCAGCCTCGCAGGTTTCCTCCCGCGAACCGAAGTGGAGAGGGCAGCGTTGCCCCGCTGCCCAGCAGGCATGGCCGGGGACCTCCTCGCCCGGGGCTTACGGAGTGCGTTCCGCCCGGCCGGTCGTTTTGTCAAAGCGACTCCTCAGACGTTAGCTTCTGCACTAGCGTGATCGATTTTCATCTCAAGCCATTAAATCAGCTTTATAGCTTCCCGAGAACGTGGGCAAGCCCTAACTTACAAGATGAAAGAGAAAAGCCCTCCTGCCCCGCAGCCCAGTAGTAGTGAGGTGTTGGGTTTGTTGCTTTACGACCCAGAGGGAGGCATTAATTGCCGGAATGCTGTTTCTATGGAGGAAGGTAGGGGTGCCACTCCCGTCCACGCTTCCTAAAGATGTTTATTGAATCCCGGTGGGGGGAAAACCCGACGTTTTAGGCTTTTGGAAAAGTCTTCACCTCATCTTGCACGCATGTGAATTGTTTTCTCAGGAAATGACAGTTACGGTCTACATTTGGTGCGAAGCTAGACCCTGAGAAATTGATGCGTAAAGGATTGAATAAGTTCTGAGGGTGATTCAGGTTTCCATGCATCTCTCTTTCCAGGTCATGTAGCATTTTTCCCGCCCCCAGTTTTACTTAGGCATTTAATATCCCAGAGGCCGCTTTTGGCATGGGGTTTGTGCGCGCCGCGGTGGGGACACGACACAAGCCAAACATTATTCGCCCGACATCTTGCCAAATCTTGTTAGTGAGAATTAACCACCGAGCGGGGGAATTACAGGACTCGCTCGCGGCCCCGGTAGCAGCGGGGTCGGGCCTTCCATTCTGGGTCTCCCCTGGAAGCACGACCCAAGCAGCGACGGCCGCCGCGGGGTCCTTCCCGCCCCAAACTCGGCCTTCCGCTCCGCCTTTGTTACTAGCAGAGCGGTTCCCTGGAGCTCTCATCTCCCGGCCCCCAGGACCCCTCCTCCACTCCCCAGCCGGGCCTCGGGAGGAGCCCCCCCCCCCCACGCTTCCGAGGCCTACCACCCGCGCTCCCCTCCTACTGCGCCGCGAATCCCCTGATACCCGGGCTCAGGTCAAGTAGGGGATCTTCCTTTTACCTCGGATTACAAAATGGCTCAGCACCGCACTGCACTGATCCGGTTTCTACTTAGCATTTAATATTTTGTTCATATAATTTTTTTGCAATTAATTTTGTTTTAAAAAGCACTGCATTTTTTATCACTTTTCGGTGCCTCCGAAATTTTAACGCCCACGGCACGCTGCTGCTAATCAGAGGGGGCCACAACTGCGCACCTACCGAGGCCTCGGGGAGGCAGGCCCTTGGGCGCCAGGCACTCCGGGTCGGGAGGTCAGCAGCCAAAGGCTCACTGCGTGACCTCTCCGTTGGGGAGGGGTTTGTACTTCCTCCTGAGGGCAAAGGGGGCCTGTGTCCGGTTTTTCATTTGCTGAGCGGCAGCAAGGCTCTGTCTAAACACTCGCTCTCAGTGGTACACCAGGAGTGTGCGCCCTTTCCAAGAAGCCGCCCAAGTCCCGGAGGTCCGGGGCGGCCCAGGAACCCGGCTTTGCCCGGCCCGCTGACTGAGCGCTCTCCCGGCCTCAAGAAACGCGACACTTTTATAAGGGCTTGGACGAGATTTCTCTTGGAGGAGCCTCTCAGTCGGATGCAGGTCTGGGCTAATGTCACACGTGTCGCAGGAGCTGGGGAGCCGTCCCTGGGCCACACTGGCCGCGCTCAGCTAGCCTTTGTTTCCCCTACCCGACACCCGCCCAGCGCTCACGTGGCCGGTAAATAACCGTCAAATCCGGGGGAGCGGGGGGGGGGGGGGGGGGGGGAGGAAAATGCCCAAGGACAAAGGCTTGCTTTCTGCACCTGACAGTAATCCGTGGTGGCGAAGCCCATAAATCCCGCAGGCAATTCACAAGGAAGGTGGTGTGGGCGGGCGTGTGTGTGTGTGTGTGTGTGTGTGTGTGTGTGTCCACGTCTGCGTGCCCGCGCCTGCGCGCCCGCACCCTGGAGGGGAGCCGCAGCTTCGGACTTAATGTATTTAAGCCAGCAGCAGCTTTAATTGCAAATGCGAATGCCTGATTTTTGAGAGACTAATAAAAAAAAAAAATTCTTTCCTCAACTTGGGAAATTCCGGAGCCTTCAGGCGTGTGAATTTCAGCAGATGAAATTTAAATTTTGTATTTATCCGGTTCTCTGTAAGCACCCTAGATAATTTTTTTTTCATTTTTAATTTTTGGTATTGTAAGTGTGCCGGCCATTTGGTACACGGTTAAATGAATGCAATGTGAGAGCTATCTGATACCGGCTATAGAGACGTCAAAACTCCTCTCCAATTAATGTGCAGGCTGGGAGTGGGAAACAATCAGTTTACAAAGGAACCTCGTGAAACAGCTTGTCAATAAGGTAGATCTTGGAGAAAACAAAGGCGTTTGGCAGGAAGACATTGTTTGAATGTCATTTCAAAGTTAATTTAATTAAGGAAGGCATATCTGCAGGAGTTGGTGTGGGATTGCCCAAGGAGAGAGATTTTATTTATATTCAGCAGTAACCCTCCGGGTGAAAATACTTTAAAAATTCGCCGTGACATGTAAATCCAACTTCTCTTTCATCAGACAGTCCTTAGACCGACCTTATTAGTCCCTGGCAGACCTGGCAAAACCCCTGCTCTTGTTTAAGAACATTTCTTTCCAATTAGGTTGTTGTGTGATCTGGGAATTTAAAGCCCAGAGTAGGATCCCCAGAGAGGACTATGGCTTCTATTCTGGTTTCAATGCCAACCTCTGACTCACTGCCCTGTCCCAAAGTGCCTGAATAAAACTTGCCTGAAAACCCATTAATGAATTAATCAAGGTGGCATTGGAAAGAAAGGGTCTGTGGATTCCTCTTTCCTGAGCAGAGAAGTTACCTTGTTCATTACTCTCTCACTTGGAACGGAAATGATCTGCTTTGCAAGGACCTGTTGGTTAGGCTTCCTACATCAGCTGATTGGGAAGCTTCTCCTCTGGCAGTGAGAACGCTCAAAAGGACTGGAAAGCTGTCTTCATGCTCCTCAAAGCAGAAAAGTGTGTGCCCCCTGCATGTTCTTAGGCAACATACACAAATGGAATTGAGGCATGTATGTCTGTCCTTCCCTGCCCACCTCTGCTCATCAAGTCAGAACTTAAAAGCAATGGAATGTTCTTCAGCATTTGGACTGAACATCAGCAAGCAATGTCAAAAACATAGCCTCAAGTTTTAGACCTGACTTTGTCACATTTACTTTCTATGCATAATACTATAGCACTTGCTAATGATTTAAAATGCTAGGTTTCTGTGGGGCGCCTGGGTGGCGCAGTCGGTTAGGCGTCCGACTTCAGCCAGGTCACGATCTCGCGGTCCGGGAGTTTGAGCCCCGCGTCGGGCTCTGGGCTGATGGCTCAGAGCCTGGAGCCTGTTTCCGATTCTGTGTCTCCCTCTCTCTCTGCCCCTCCCCCGTTCATGCTCTGTCTCTCTCTGTCCCAAAAATAAATAAAACGTTGAAAAAAAATTTTTTTAAATGCTAGGTTTCTAACCTTAGGGTCTCTGAAGAAAGGTTCCAATACGTTGCTTGGTTCATTAATCTATTTGAAAACTATTCAATCCAGGCTACGCTACCATGTAGCTTTGTGATCTTGGGCAAGACAATCTCCATGGGTCTCAGTTTCCTCATCTGCAAATGGAAGAGTTGGGGCAGGGCAGTTTTTAAGGTCTAGTCCATTTCCCACCCTGTGTGAATGCACGGGAGAGCCTCCTGTCAACCCCAAGCCCAAACCTCAGCAGCCTTCTCCATTCCCTCCCCAGAGCCTGGCACACTAAATGCCCAAGACCAGGAACAGTCTCTAACTCCTATCTGGCCCTCTTTTGCTCATGGAGAGCAAAGTTGGTAGTTTTTATTTAGATGTTTTTTGTCAAGTGCTAATATCCCAAGTAGCTTGATAACATTTATTCAACAAACACATGAAATAAGGTGGGGGAAACAAACTTATCCAAAATACTGACTGTAATTTCAAAGAGTTTATAATTCAGTCGGGCTACTCAGGGTGTGAATGTCACCTTACGTTATTGCAAGGATCTAATAAATATCATTAGGGAAAAACAAATAAAATGCCAGGGGGATTCAGAAAAGAAAAGGATCGCACAGTGCTGCGGGATTAGGGAAATGGAAGGAAAAGGCCAGTGTGAATAAAATGCATTTCATCTACTTAAATGTTATCCTTGACTTCTCTGTTAGGTCCTTTTTTTTTCTTTTTTAACTTTTATCCCACCCCTGACATTCATTCTGTCCTTGTGCCTTACATCTTTTCCTTTCATTTGTTAACCTCTCTCTTCCCCAGTGGCTTTGCCTGCTAAAAATAGATGAGCGATTGGTCTGAAGCTACAAGAGAGCCAAGATGATGCAAAAACTCTGTAGAAAATCTATGCCTTGGACAGTGAGCTGACCTTAGATGCCAGGTAACCTAACTGTGGGCCTGACTCTAGTG